TGTTGTGGTGTATGTCTAACAGTGAAGTGTCGGACGATGCCATCATTTTCACAGACCTTATTGAAATGATCATTTTTGTATTCACCTCCATTGTCTGTGCGAATACACTTGATCCTCCTGCCTGTTTGATTCTCAACCATCGTCTTCCATTTGAGAAAAATTCTCAGCACTTCATCTTTGCTTTTCATTGTACACACCCACACTCTTCGGGAAAAATCATCAACAAAGGTTACAAAATAGTTCTTCCCACCCAATGAAGGTGTTTTGGAAGGACCCCAAACATCAGAGTGTACATAATCCAAAATGCCTTTAGTATTATGGATTGCTGTACCAAATTTAACCCTTGTCCGTTTCCCTTTGACACAATGCTCGCAAAACTCCAAGTTGCAAGTCTTTACCCTTTTTAACAATCCTTGATCTGATAGAGTCTTCAAGGATTTTCCTCCAGCATGTCCCAAACGCATATGCCATAGCCTGGTTGCTTCTGCCTCTTTGTCGTCACTGGACGTCACTGTTGCNAGCCACCAAATAATAAATAAGACAATAAGACAACAATAAAAGAACACCAGAATTTACGAGGTTCAGCTAATATTGCCTACTTCCTCGGACACAACCAATATTTTATTTCACTCCAAAAATACAAGTGAAATAATACTAAAGAGAGAAGATACAAATGCCTTAAGAAGATAAGAAGGCAAATGAGAGGTGTATTTAAATCCTAAACATTAGGCCTCCTTTTATAAGGGAAAAATCCCAACAATTTTTCTCCCCAACCGATGTGGGAGTTTGACAACTTCAACACTTTCCTTCTCTAATGTGCCTATCAAGAAACCTAATCCTGCTTTGGAATAGCACAGGCATGCTTAACTGCAATTGACTGGCATAGAGCTCTTAGGAAACTGGATGGAAAATTGTATTCTGGTCTTACTTTGCTTTACTTGCATACATTTGACTTGGTGCTCGCTTGTTGGAAGATGTGCCCACTCTGAAGTGAAGTCTTGTGGAATGGCCTATATAGAAGCTAGAAGTATCTAGCCTAGTAGTAGTCACCCTAACAAAATCCTCACAACAACGTATAATTTCTTATGAGTTGATTCTTAAGTAGGGAACTTAGCCCGCCCACCTACTAGCCAGAGAGGTTGACAGTAAGTGTAAGCTCATCCGGAAGCTTGAGGAGCTCCCTTCATTTGCTTCATGGGAGCCGCACAGCACATAGCTGGAATTCAGAGGGCCCATTTAACCCTTCTCTTGTTTCCTTCCCTTTGCTGGTGCAAAGAAACAACAATAGGTTCCAGGATATGCTATTCCACAATACAACTTTTTCTCTACAAGCCATTTATTAGAATTGGAGAAACAAAAGCATATCGAAAAGATGGACTTTTTTTCTTACATTATCTTTATGTATTTTATGGCTAAACTGACTCACCTCTGGCATTCAAATCTCGAGTACTCTTGCTACTGTCTTAGATTGTTTTGGTAGCACTCTTTGTTTATGCATCCATTGAGGAAATCTAAATTGTAAATGTAAGCATAAACAATACTAGTCTACAAATCCTGTAAGGGAGGAGCTGGCTGTTAAGCTGCATATATCCAAATCTAAGGATAATTCAAACAAGAAAACTACTTTGTGTGCTTCCTCATTTGAGTTGCCTTAATTTTGATCTCTGGGGTTATTTGCTGCTAATCTTTAGTGGACATTGTAACAGATATATGGAGGACACAGCACTGCAAGAACAAATCCCTGTTGATTTATTTAGCCTTCCTAACTTGGAGACTATGTAAGTTTGAACTTATTCCATACTAACGCTAGATTTAGTCAGGGCAAGTTAACTCATTAAAATCAGTGTAACATATATTTTTCTTACAACTCGGCCTTCCGGTATACAATACTCTCTTAAAGCACATTTGTTATATTTGACGACCATTTGCTTTCATATTTGCAGAGGATTAGCCAACAACAATCTCAGTGGAACATTGGACATTGGGACCAGATATGGGAATAATTTAACACTTGATTTACGAAATAATTCTATCAAGGACTTCACTCAGAAAACAGAATACAATATGAATATATCGTGAGCAAATTACTTCTATGTTATTAACCCTTTTATTAGAGCACATTCTTTTGTCTTGGGGAATAATGTTCTATTATATTTTGTAGGCTTTCTGGAAACCCTATTTGTGATGGAACAGGAGCAACAGCCAAATACTGTTCAGTTCAGATTTCCAATGATTCCTTCTCCTCATCTCTGACTTGTCCAGAAATGTCTTGCAGTTCAGACAAAACACTAAGTCCTACATGCAAATGTTTATATCCATTCACTGGGACACTGCATTTCTTTTCCTTGTCCTTCTCAAATTTAGAGAACTCGAGCTACTTTACAACCCTTGCTGGCTCTATGATGTCTGCCTTTTTGTCCAATGGGCTTCCTGTGGATTCAGTTTCTCTAAGTGATCCAACGGTTGATGTTTATTCATATCTTCAAATTGAAGCACAAATCTTTCCTTCAACGCAGAACAGTTTCAATCGAACATCAATTTCTTCCATTGGTTTCCTGCTTAACCGGAATCCTTTCCAACTCCAATATTTTGGACCCTTCTTCTTTACTTCTGAAAGCTATTGTTGCTTTGCAGGTAACTGAACATGGTTTAAAAGTTTTTATCTTTTGGCTCTTCTTTTCTCAAATTCTTTCCTGGATAGATTTGCAATTTTTGTCTAGCTTAACAAGTTTGTACATTTTTTAATTTAGACAAAATGAAGAAGTCATCACATACTGGCATCATTGTTGGAGCATCGGTTGGTGGTGCAGTGCTTGTTCTTTTAACACTTTGTGCTGGTCTTTATGCTTTTCACCAGAGAAAGATAGCAAAAAGAGCTGGTCATAGCAGTAATCCTTTTGGTAGTTCTTAGATCCGGGCACTTCTGTTACATTGTTGTTTTAACTTTTAAGTGTTTTTTTTTAATTTCCCAATGGTGTCTTCATGTGAATACAGAAACTTGGGACCGTGATAAGAGTGGTGCTGTTCCACAACTTAAAGGAGCGAGATGGTTCTCATTTGAAGAGATCAGGAAGTGCACAAACAATTTTTCAGAATCTAACTGCATTGGATCTGGGGGCTATGGGAAGGTTTACAATTTCTCTTTTTTTTTTCCTGCTTTAAAGTTCAGCACATATTTAGCGTATATAGTGGCATAAATTCACTTTAACTACCATTTTAAAATGCAAAGAAGGTCATAGACGCTTGACCTGTTTGATCTTTGCTCCAACTTTCAACTAAACATGTAGCTTGCTTAGACACTAAATTAGGATAATTAGACGTAGAAAACATCTGCTATACAGCAAGGAGCAGGTGATGAGGAAAATTTCTTGAATGCAATAGTTATATGTCAATATGGCATTAACATCTTGCATGTGGGATTGCAGACTTCTACAGATTCAGCATATTTCAAAGAAAAGTACGGCTTGCCTATATGGAGAAATAGGTGGTGGCTTAAAGTGATTGAAGTGATCTCAACAACTAACTACTTATATTTTTTCCAATTTAAAAGTATTTCCTCATTTTTTCACCTCTAGCCACGATTATGAACTGAACTAGTCTAAGATTCATTTCACAGTTTTTCATCATCAAAAGATTTATTCAGCCACGAGGATGTTGCAAACTCAAAATTAGTGATCACTGCAAGGAGGTATTTCTTGGTGTATGAAAAGCCAAAGGCAATAAGGATATTAATCTCTTGGTTCATTGGTTTATTCTGTGGTTGGTTTCAGCTGCTGAAATAGTTATTTTCTAGACCTAAATAATTAGCCTAAGTATGTTGTTGTTAGCACCAGTATTTTAAAAGGCGTTTTTGGGGCGAGCCCCGGGGCGAGGTGCATCGAGGCAATGGTGTGAGGCGAAAGTTTCAAGAGGCTTACGCCCAGAAATTCGGGGCGTATCCCCGGGCGTTGAGGCGCATTTTTGTAGTTAGGCGTAAGCCCCAGAGACTTTTTCAAATTAAAACAAAATTTGCTCAATAAGTCCTTCATAATACCCAAATTCTCAAAATTCAGCTTGTAATTACTCAAAATTTTTAAAAAGGAACTGAAACATTAAATCTAAAAGTCAAGACTTCTTTTATTGATAGAAACCCTAATTTATGGTCTTTCTCAATTCTTTATCTTGTCCGCTAGTCTGCTACTATCTCCCAAAAGCAACGAATAGTCAATTTTTCTTTTTGTAAACACAAAGAGAACTCCATTCTCCTTCATAGCAGCAAGTTCAAAGCTCAAATTGCAGGTTAGTCATCCTTTTTGTTCCTCCATGCAGAAAACTTTATTCTTTTCAACTCAAGTTACTTGTGCTTCTAAGTACCATATATGAATTGTTTTGACTAGTTCTTTTTGTGGGGATGGAGCACATCTATATATATTTTTCACATACTGATAGTTTTCTTCAATTTTTATTTAATTTTACCGATTTATAAATATTTACTGTAATTATATTATTTTATAAAATATTAAAAATTAAATACCCATGGGGCTTACGCCCCGTACCTCGGAGCTTATGCCTCAGCTTATGCCCACACTTTTTAAAATACTTGTTAGCACCCACCTATATGATTTACCCGTGTCGTTTATGTTATTCAGCAGCAATTTAGGAGCTACAAGGCATTTCTAAAATATTGAAATTCACTAATAGCTGACGTTCAGTCATCTAGAATTATATCTTGATCGTTCTTCATGACTGACATATGCATTTCATGGTACAACACTGCATCTTTCACACTCGTTTTACTTTTTCTCGTAGCATGTCAAATTTGTCTAGATTGATACATGTAACATCAACAGGTCTACAAAGGAACTCTTACTGCTGGGGAGGTAGTTGCAATTAAAAGAGCACAACATGGATCAATGCAGGGAGCATTTGAGTTCAAAACAGAGATTGAACTATTGTCAAGAATTCATCATAAGAATGTTGTAAAACTGGTTGGATTTTGTTATGAGCAAGGCGAGCAAATGCTGGTCTATGAGTACATTTCAAAGGGTACACTAAGGGAAAGTCTCTCAGGTAATTCTTCTCCTTTTCTCAATGGCCTTCAAAGAATATTTATCCCTTCCTTCATCATTTCATATGTTTGCTTCAGAGGAACAGATGCAAAGTCCAGACTAATCTGGCAAATAAGAAAGAGAAAGTAATATTTCTTCACTAAAACAATACTGATCTGTCCGGTGAACTGTCCTGTTCATACAGTGTAAAGTGTTTCATTTATCTTTGTGTAAAATTGGATTCATTATATTGCTTCAGCTCCTTTATTGGGCCTGTTACTGTATATTGATATTCAGCCATTCTCCTCCAAGAATATTTCCAACCAAAACTCTCTCCATCACTATCATGATTCATGGATTTTCTTCTAGTCACGAATAAAATGGGTACTCAAATATGTGATTGTTGTAGGATATGCTAGAGATTCCTACGTTTTCTAGCCTCTCTAGCAAAGTTGAAATGAAATATCTCTAATATCAAAAATGTGCATAGGAAAGTATATAGGACAGTTTTTGGGCATATATACAAGTTTAGTTTGGTAATTCTTAATCTGCATATGGATCTTGCAGTCAAGCCAAAAATCCAATTGTATTGGACAAGGAGACTTAGGATAGCCCTTGATGCTGCTAGAGGTTTGGCATACTTGCATGAGCTTGCAGATCCTCCCATAATACACAGGGATGTTAAGTCGAATAACATCTTGCTGGATGACCATTTAACTGCTAAAGTTGCTGATTTTGGCCTATCACTTCTGAAAGACGATGACAAGGGACATGTCACCACTCAAGTCAAAGGTACATTGGTGAGTATTACAACCTCAAACTTTAGTGGATCAACTTGAGATGCATTACAATCATTATATATTTGCCTATGTTAAACCGTAAAATTTGAAGGCGTTTGGATAGCACAAAAGCTAATATTCCTGACCATGAATGACTGAACAACATGAAGAAAGATCATTTCGAATCCAATAAAAGATTAGTCATTACATGTTATTTATTGTTTACAACAACAACCCAGTATAATCCCACAAGTGGAGTCTGGAGAGCGTAGTGTGTACGCAGACCTTACCCCTACCCTGGGGGTAGAGAGGCTATTTCTGATAGACCCCCGGCTTAAGAAGATGAAAAGAAACAATAGAACAGTAACAACATGTTATTCATTGTTTAACGTATATATGCAAATCTTGATTTCAAAAAACATTTACAATTCCACAATGCACCATCCATACTGTTTCAAAATCCCATTTTCTAAGAAGTTTCCTACGTAGGGGTACTTGGATCCTGAATATTACATGAGCCAACAGTTGACCGAGAAAAGTGATGTATATAGCTATGGAGTGGTGTTGCTTGAGCTGATAACTGCAAGAGCTCCAATAGAACGAGGAAAACACATTGTGAGACTGGTTGCAGAGACCAGATATGATTCAAAAGATAACAGCAAGCTCTACCAATTAATAGATCCAAGAATAGGTCCAGGTTCAAAACTCGAAGGTGCTGATAGACTATTTACATTGGGAATGAGATGTGTTAATGAATCCGGGGCCGAGAGGCCTTCCATGGGTGAGGTTGTAAAAGAAATTGAGAATATCATTGAACTGGCCAGCTTGACCAAGTATACAGATGAAGCCCTCACTTCAACTAGCTTTGAAGACACAACTCAAGTCAGTCTTGACGATTTTTATAATGACAAGGCTTTTGATTATAGTGGTAAATTTCCTGATGTTGGCGTGCGGAACACCACTGGAAGTTACTAAGGTGTATAACTATGAATCACATTTGTTTGTTTGTTTGCTTGGTACTACTGATTCTTCTGTTTTATATTTGAAGTCAAAGTTATATATGGCTTCTTGAGATTCAGGGATCTTTATATCAATTTTTGATGGAAAAAGAAGTTAGATCATAGCGTACAGGACTACAGATGAATTCTGTAACTCTGGAACTGTAACAAAATCCAGAGTTCTCTTGTTACTCTGATCTTTGCAGCTATGTCAACAAGTGCAAACAATTTAGGACCTTTAGGTCTTTGACATGAGGATTGTTTTAGATCATTGCATAATTAGTTACAAGAAATTTACTAAAAGCATTCAATTTCATCAAGGATTAAATGTGCATGAGGTTTTGGCTTGTAATACACCTCTCAAATGGTTTTGATATTTAGGCAAACGATAACTGTTTCAAATTTTATGTTAATAAGCTCTATTTTCATAACTATGGTGTCTGAGCCAGCTTGTGTGCACCTCCACTAATCCACCGGTTACGTATCTGCTAGGCTGCTACCACCACCAGCTTGGGCTGTACAATGTAACTTTGCTCGCCAAATCTTAGGCAAATTTAAAAATCACCATAGCTCAGGTACAAAGTAATTATGTTCACCAAAGCTTACATAGATTCGAAGAAATCGCTTAACATTTCTTGCCTCTGTTGGAGTTAAACCCTGGTCCTCCATGGGCCATTACAACTTCATATATCGCTAGGCCACACCCTTAAATGCTTATGTTAAAACTTTATTTTGTTTTAATATGTAAGTGGACGGACCTTTGTGTGAGCGATTTCTTATTTTTATTGTATCATGAATTTGATCTTATGTAACAAAACTATATTTCTTATTTTTATTGTATCATGAATTTGATCTTCATGTACCATGCCAGTCATCTGCTCCTAATAACTTTGGATTAATAAGGAGAAGATAAAATGGCTATATAGACAGACAAAGTTGATCTAAGAAGAGAATCAAATGTGAAACCTAAAGCAAGCTTTCTTGAACAGAACCGATAGACAGCAGCTTGTACGAGGAAAAATATAGGGTAGCTCTTGCCAGGAAGGTAGTAAAAAAAAGTTTGGAGAAATTAAGAAAAGGAATATTTACATTTTAATGGAAATTAGATAAGGGATGATTCAACAACAACAACAACAACAACCCAGGAAAATCCCACAAGTGGGGTCTGGGGAGGGTAGTATGTACGCAGACCTTACCCCTACCCCAAAGGGATAGAGAGGCTGTTTCCGAAAGACCCTCGGCTCAAGATAATAAGAAAAACTAGAAAAACAAAAGGGGAAAATATTAGTTTCACCATAGAGATCATAGGAAAAATAGGAACCTAAAATGCATAAGAAAATACA